CTACCCACAATCCTTCAAAGATTCCGGGGCAGATTCCATGATAATGTATGGGAGGCACGGGCCACCAAATTTGGCAGAAGGGGCAGATTCCATGATAAATTGGGGGCAGAAGTAATGAAAAGTAGCGGTCGCATTTCGCTCAAACTTGAACAAACTCTCTTTCAGGTACACTTTACTCGACAGATTTTAATATCAGACCATGAAAAGGTTATGGTGCAACGCTATCGGAAGTTGAAAATTTGGGCATTCTGGCTTGAAGTTCCAGCTCGGAAGCTTAGGGTTAGGGTCAGCGGGCATAATTGCAGTCCGGCTAGATAGAAGGGTCCGTCGCAAGCGGCAGTGGCTGGACGCTCGGGAAAGAGATGACGAATAAGAACATACTGATAAAGATGCGACAAAGCTGTATCTCGCTTCCCAAACATCTATCAACATAGCTCAGATCCCAGCTTGTCCAGGACATCACTGCGATGTCGTCGCAACGACCGGGATCATGAAAATTTTGCGACAGGGGGCGTGCAGCTGAACTCAAGCAAGATTGCCAGCTAGAAATAACAGGCAAAAGATAAACATACACATACTTTAGCGACAACGGCAGTATGTCAAGATGAACGCTTTTGAAGAATTATTTACACACTTCCCAAATTTTCGGATTATCGTTTGTAGAGATTGCAAGTTTGCGGTGGTCCCCGACCAGATAAAAGCGCATCTCAACCAAAACCACCAGACGCTCACGGCGAGTACGAGGAAGAACATCGTCGAGCAGGTGGGTAGGCTCGATCACGTTGCGTATAGGACAGAAGACGTCATCTATCCCGTCGCCGTACAAGATGCGGTCCGGGAGCTCGGCCCAGTCATAGAGCAATGCTTTGAGTGTAAAGAGTGCGGGTTACTCCGGGAGAGTAGAAAAGGCATCGAGGCACACTGTAGGAAAGAACATAATTGGAGCAGCACAAAATCCAGAGGAGGGCGAGGAAGCTTTAGGAGTCAGGCTGCCAGAAATCAGCCGTTCACAGAGGGGCACTACTGTCAGAGGTTCTTCAAATATGCGCAGTGGACCAAACTCTTCAAAGTGTTGCAGGCGGTGCCGCATGTACAGAGCAGCCATCACGACTTCGAGGCTGACACGAGGGCGCAAAAACTGGCAGACGGAGCTACGGATGAATTGAAGAGCAAGTTGCAAGAGCTCCATCGCCAAAGAGAAGTAGGTGTCAGCGACGTCAGGTCTGCGATGGACCCGTGGCTGGACCACACGGGCTGGGCGTCACATCTAAGCGGCTTTGAGAAAGAAAAGCTCAGAGCGAGCTTGAACGCAGCACCGCAGCGAGAAGCCGACGAAGAGGGCCGGCAGGTAGTCAACGAAGAGGAGAACGCCATCGAGACAGCGTGTAGGGCGACCGGAAGCGCGATCAAAAAAGCCATGGATATCAGCAACCCGTACACGATCCCCAGAGCGGCACTCCACTACGTGAATAGGAAGGAGACTGGTGCGGAGAACAACGAGACGCCGTTCTACAACAAGCACAAAGCCAGCACATTGAAGAAATATGCCCGGGTGTGGGGTTCGCTCTTGAGGTATCTGTGGAGGAGTCAGACGTGGGAGAAGAAGCCGGCTTACCAGCTCACGACCGGGCAGAAGGCGAAGTTGGAGACGGTGCAGAGGCTGGCAAGGCAACCGATATCGAATCTCCGCTCGTCGGAAAAGTCGGACGCTAGGGGAAAGCTCGAGTGGGCTGTCGTTCTTTTCTGGGCAAGCATGCTCGATCAAGAGCTACTCGACAACGAGTTCGAGAGTGGATTTCTCAGCGCGGTGGCGGTTCTCGGGCTCGACACGGACGACGCAGGTTGGGTGAAAGTATTCAATTTCACCCCAAAACTGGCTGCCATCGTGACGATAACTAGAGCTCTGGTGATATGGATGGCTTATAAGCAGAGGCAAGACCACATCCACCAACTGACGGAAGAGGAAGGTATGGGCGAGGTGGAGGCCAAGAAACGGGCAGTCAGTGTTGTGGAAGGGGTGCACACCATGGTACCGCGGCTCATATGTTTGCAGGAATACGGCGGGGTTGCGAGCCCGATGGATCGAATACTGCACATGAAGACGTATGGCATGAGAATCAGATTCACGGAGAAGGCCGCCGCCAGAGTCACTTGGATGAACAGATGCCAGGAAGTCTGCATAGACAGAGTCAGCTTCAGCATGGGTGATCTGAGGGATGCGATGCACGGGCTCCAAGAAAGGTGCCAGGACAGGCTTGTGAAGCAAGTGATGTTTCTACAGCGCGAGGAAGAGCTGCCAATCTTGCGTCTGGAGAGACTGTTCGACAACCCGAGCGATCTCACCGAAGGTTGGAGTTTCTTAGATGATGAGAGGAACGAGGAAACTCTCGGGCAGATTAGGAGAGCGGATGGTAAAGACGTCGACAGCAGGAAGTGGCTATGGAGCAGGCTGATGCGAGAAGACCACTTGGTGAAGAGGTTCTTACTGAATGACGACATGGCCAAAGTCGAGGACTGGACCGGGCTACAGTGGAATCTGACACAGGTCGAGAATTACTTCAGGTCAGTGACACTGTTCAAGGAGGAGCTGATCGTGCTGTGCCACATGGCGAGCGGTGCTCCAGCCAGAGGCACTGAAATCACAAGCGTCAGAGCCGCGAACGGAGAAAGCGGAGGGGG